ATGATTATCAATGAAACAGGGGGAGATTTTTTGATGAATTAAAATCTGTGTTAAATTCTTTCCTATCTAAATTAAACAAGGGGAGTTAAGAGAAGTCTTTGCTCATATGAGTTAGGGGAGTCTTGTTATTAATATATACAGAGTGAGATTAAGAGACTCGACACTTGATACAAATCTGTGCTAATCTTGAGTCGGCTATATAGAGTCAAGCATTTTAATTCATTTCAGGTGTTTCCTTGATCATCATCAAAAAGGGGGAGATTGAAAGCAATGAGGGGAGATTGATGGAAATGTCCCTACATTCCCAAGAGATGATTTTGATGATGATTAAGTCAACTACATTCAAGTAAACACCATTCAAGATGAATTAAGGACAAGCTGAATTTATGACGTTGGTGAAAATGTGAAACATTTCCCTACATGCCCAAGATATGTTTTTGATAAAGATGATGATTCAAGAAAGCCCAAGATGATTCCTGAAGACTAGATAGAGTCTTAGAATGCTGGATATGAAGGTACAAGTTGATGAAGTAATATTATGCATAAGCCTCCAAAGCACAAGTGTGATAAAATTCATAACATGATATTTTTCTCTGTCATAAATAATTATGATGCATCAGAAATGGAAAAATGATTTTCTCTGTCATAATTGATTATACAGGTAATATAATCAATTATGACAATTCAAATTTGAAAAATATATCCATTTTAAAGAATAAATATTTTTTAATACATCTTGATTTTCTCTATGACATTATTAATGTCCAACAACCATTTTTTGATGTTATTTTTCTATTTAATTAATTTTTGATGAAAAATAAAAAACACACAATTACGTAATTCGAAAATACAATTTATATTCAATCAGTTTTGAGAAAAGAATTCGAGTAAGGCAACAAAGATATTTTACACCTTCCGAGAAAACCTTCTTCTCTATTGTCTTCTGTGCTTTCATTGTTAATCAAACTTGTTCTTGGAGATTGACATTCTACAGGCTTCTACAATTTGTTGTCCCCATTACCCAGGTGTGTCTGTTTTTATTTTTATTACCTTCATCCTTAGTGTGATTCTAAGGAGGTGTTTTCATCATTTGATTTGTTCAGAGGAGGTATTCATCCCTATAGTGTGATTCTAGGGAGGTGTTCATCCTTAGTGGGATTCTAAGGAGATGTTTTCATCCTTTGATTTGTTCAGAGGAGGTGTTCATCCTTAGTGGGATTCTAGGGAGGTGTTCATCCTTAGTGAGTTTCTAAGGAGGTGATTGTCTTTTTAATTAGTTTACTTTTTACTGGTTCTTTTGCTGAGTTGATTATAATTTGTAAACTGAATTTGAAAGATAGTGAATTAGGAGTCACTCTTGTATTAAGAGTTGACTGAGAACTGGATGTAGGGTTGACTATACCTGAACCAGTATAAATCTCTGTATGCTCTTCTCTTTTCCTTATCTCTTTCTCTTTTCCTGATTATATTATCGCTTCCGCTTTATCTGTGTTCAAACAAATTATTGACTCACAGATAAATTTTTAATTTGGCATCTATTTTAATTTGTGCATCTATTCACCCCCTCTAGATACCATTTGTCTAACCTATCTATTACATATTCATCGGATAATAATTACTTTTACTTTTTTATGCTAATTAAAGATGGAATTACGGTTAATAGACCAAAACTATATATATAATTATTTTTTAAAAATTAAATAAAAATTATTTTATAAGTATAAATAAAATTTAAATTATTTATTTTTTTCTCTTAAATTTTATTTATAATAAATATCATATTTATTCTTTTACAAAGTTATTTCTATCTCTTTCTTCTTATTTTCAGATCTTTATCTTTCTTCTCCCACCTTTTCATTTTTTTTACTACAACTTTTTTCTATTACACATCATTTTGTTTTTTCACGTTTTTATCTTTTATCTTGATCACTCATTCAATTTCATATTTTTCTATGGTTTCACATTACTACATAAAAATTATAAAATTTTCTCTTTAGTTTTCATTTTTTTATAATTTTATCTCTATAACGTAAAAATTATATTTTTTTATTCTATAATTTTTTAGTTCTTTTTTATTCTGTTTAACAAAGAAATAGGAAAAAGTAAAAAAAAAAAGGAAATATCTCACACTATTTCTTTTGGAGTAAAAAAAGTAAACAAATTTATTTTTATTTATTATTATAACAAATTAGTGTGTGTAGTGTAATAAAAAATATAAAATATTGATATTTTTTTTTATTTGTTATAGATTAATTAGTTATTTTAATGTTGTATAATACTTTATTTTTGATGTTAAAATGTTAAAAAAAATCATTTGAAAAATATCTAAAAAAATTATAGACTCATTTTTTTTAAGGATAGATGAAATAAATTTTATAATTTAAATTTAAATTCAATTAATAATTTTAAATATATAATATATAATATATAATATTTTTATTTTTATATGATAAATTAATTTTTATACGTTATTTTCCATCGTCTAAAATTTCTGGTCTGTGCTTGATAGTAAATATTACATTAATTCAAATATCACACCTATTGTAGTTTTGTTATAGATTTTTGTAAATAATATTTAATGTAGTTAATTTCATATAATAAAAACAGTAATTAATATGATTGATAAGATGAATTACCAAAATATAATAAATTTGAATTAAAATAAAAGATTAAATATTGAATTATTTTTATAATAATATTAAACATAATAATAATAATTCATAATTATATTTTATAGTTTGTAAGAAATTGACTCTTTAAAGAGATACAGATTAATTTATCTTTTTTTTTAATTTTTATTTATAATAAATATCATATTTATTTTTTTACATCGTTTTTCACATACACATTTTTTTTATCTCTTTCTTTTTTTTTATTTCTTTTTTTTCTTCTCCTACCTTTTCATTTTTTCAAATCAACTTTATTCTATTACACACCGTTTTATTTTTTCACATTTCTATCTTTTGTTTTGATCACTCATTCAATCTTATATTTTTCTCTTTTATGGTTTCACCTTATAATATAAAAATTATAAATTTTTCTCTTTAGTTCTTTTTTTTTATAATTTCATCTCTATAACATATAAATTATATTTTTTTTCTATAATTTTTTAGTTCTTTTTTATTCTGTTTAACAAGGAAAAATACAAAAAGATAAAAAAAAGGAAATATTTCACACTATTTCTTTTGGAGTAAAAAAAGTAAATAAAATTATTTTTATTTATTATTATAACAAATTACCGTGTGTAGTGTAATAAAAAATATAAAATATTGATATATTTTTTTATTTGTTATAGATTAATTAGTTATTTTAATGTGATGTTAAAATGTAAAAAGAAAAAAAATCATTTGAAAAATATCTAAAAAAAGTATAGACTGCTTTTTTTTTTTAAGGATAGATGAAATAAATTTTATTTTTTAAAATTTAAATTTAATTAATAATATTAATTATATATATTATTTTTATTTTTATATGATAAATTAATTTTTATATATTATTTTCCTCGTCTGGTTTGTCCCTAATAGTAAATATTACATTAATTCAAATATCACACTTGTAGTTTTGTTATAGATTTTTGTAGATAATATTTAATGTAGTTAAGTTGATAAAATAAAAATAGTATTTATAATGATTGATAAGATGAATTACCAAAATATAATAAATTTGAATTAAAATAAAAGATTAAATATGAAATAATTTTTATAATAATATTAAAAATAATTGCTTGTGAATTTCAAATTAGTTAAATAATTGATCACAAAATTTTATTTCACATACCAATTGAAAAATAAAATTAATGGAGAATGAGGACTTAACATAAGCTATTATAGATAATAATGGAAACACTTTTATATTAATTGTATTAGGAACCAATGTAAAATACAATTTTTTTAATGGATCAAAATAGGTGTGGGGGAATGTTCATATTACATCAGTTTTGACTATAACTGATATAATGTGGGGTAATTCTTTTTAAGCTATGTTTACTCATTGTGATTTCTAAATTTCACAAACAAACAACCAAAGATTAGTTCATTAAAAAATAATACACAAATAATAAATAAATAGTTATGTTCACAATTATCTATTACTTATAATCCATTCATTTGAAAATAAAATAACTACACTAATTCATCCAATTACTCATTATCTACAAAAATCTATAACAAAACTACAATAGGTGTAAATTAATCTAATCAATTATAATTTTTTTATTTCTCACTTTTAATTAATTCAATTAATCTAATTAATTATAAAGATACTTTTCACTTGATTTCTTTCGTTTTTTTTTTTTTTATTCTCTCAAATTGAGTCGTGACTACAAACATAATTTATAAATATAGTTGTAATTAAATTAAAACAAGTCGATGAGTTCATACTTGGACGCACATGCTACTACTAGGAATGGACGGTCAAGATGTTGGGCAAAGTAACACGCAAAAAGGAAAGTAAATTATGACTGAAACTGAAGTCAATGCATTTGTGGAAGGACAAAACCAAAGAGTCTCCCAAGGTAGAAACTACAAGTAAAGGAAAGAAAACCACTCTGTACGATAATGTCAATGTAGAAAGAGAAGAGAGGTTTTTATTTTACAGAGAGAAACTTTTAGAGAGACAAAGTCAGTGGCAACTCAAGAAGAAGTAGCTAGCACCCAAACCACACCAGATTTTGGATAATAATCTAATCTTTTATCGCTCTTAGATCCATTGAGCTTCTTCCTGCACATCATGATTTTCTCTGGGTCAACCACCGGTTGAGCACACAGAAGAAAGAGAGGGTTTGAAGAGATGGCTTTGATCATGACCCTTTTCATGAGTCACGTGCCCACGTAGCGCAAAAGTTAAAATTGCACTTTTTTTTTTTTTTGTGGTTTGTGGAATTTGTTCATGTAGGTCGTGCTAATTCCCTTCGATTGATGAGATAGTCCAACTTCTAGTTTCCTTCAGAATTTGGTTTTTCTTTTATTGCGTGTTGTCTTTTGAGGTGGCTCGGCGGAGCCATGGGGGAGCATGTAGCAGCAGTGCACACTGCTACTGATGCTTTGCAATCATTAGGGAGGGGTTTTGATGTGAATTTTGATACGAGGTTGCTTTATTGTAAAGGAGTTTCAGGGTCTAGGGTAGTTGAGATTGATGAAGAGCACCGCAGGGAGCTGTTGTTGTACGATGATGTGGCTGTTCCTGACGTTTCCAGGGACATTGGAAGCTCCCAGGAGGCCATGGAGCGTCAGAGTTCTGGGGTCTGCACGTTTCGAGAGGTACGTTTGGTAGTTGAATTATTTCTCTTGTTATTTTTTCTTGTTTCGTGAGAATGTTTTGGTGGGAATTGTCTAGGTTTTATGCATTCAGGGTTTCCCTGCGTACCTGGATATTGAGGGAAATTGCAGACAAATACACTGATGTGGGCACAATTGTGTTGGCAGACACTTCAAAAATCTTGACGGTGCAGCCAAATTGCAGTTGCCAACCGTTTTTTAAAACCTTGAAAATTGTTTTCTGATTGTAATTTAGCATGTTTCCTGTTCAGTTATGTTTACTTGTTTGTGCCAGTTTTGTTTGATCAATTTGGCATTGGTTTTATATTGCTTTTTATGATTATGGAGAATAGATGGTCCTGGTGTAATAAAATTGAGTTGTGGAATGGCTGCTAGCGATGGATTTGTGGAAACCCTCAAAGTAATATTCATGAGGATGGTTTTGTTTGTCATTTGTAATTTGGGATTGGTAGGGGGGTGGTTAAAAAATGGTGTTTGAGCATTTGTCAATGATGTAGGCATGCTGCTTTAACTAATATAATTAGAGGACCTGCCTTATGATATATAGCTTTGGCCGCCTTTGCATGGACTCTGAGATATTAACGATGACAGACTGTAGCTCCTTTTGACTTTAGAAGATCTTTTTATTTAGCAGAAATTTCCAAATCATATATTCATATGTACTAATGATACTTATCTGTTATGCTTTCCATCTTTCTGGTAAATTGCTTTCATAATACTCAGGTTGATCTTGATTCCCTTATATTTTGCATGCATTGAGTATTTGAAACAAACAAACTATTATAACTTCAGATTGCCCCGTACTTAAGAATAGGAGTCATATTTTACTGTTGTCCCCTATAATGTTCTCAAATTTATGGTAGTTCTGTTGTGACTACAGATGGTGGAATACTTTAATGGAAGGGCAAATATATCAGGGAACTTTCCTATTGGGAGTTTTAATGCTTCATTTAGCTTCACTGGTTCAAAACATGTTGACGCTGCAGCTACAAAAACCTTGTCTACAGAAGGGTTTTACATTCCTCTTGCAAAGGTTCAGCTTAAAAAGTCCCACTTAACATTGCAAGGAAATGTCAAAAAGGCTGTCCCAGTCAATTGGGACCCACCGGCCTTGGCAAGGTATGCATACAGCAGTTATCTACATAATGCTATAACAAAGATATCTAAGACTGTTTCCTGACTTTTAATTACATTTTGACAGTTTTATAGAAAATTTTGGGACCCATGTCATTACATCTATAACTATTGGTGGTAAAGATGTTATTTATGTTAAACAACACCATACTTCTCCTTTGTCAAAGTTGGAGATGAAAAACTATGTTCAGGATATTGGAAATCAAAGATTCTCTGACATCAATAGCCAAACAAGTTCAGGTCAAACAAAATCCAAGGATAAGGCTAGTTCACCTCAACACCTCTTTTCTTGCATTAATTTATGTGATTCAGGCTCATGATATCTATAAATATAATGCTTGATTATTTTGATTACATTTTTGGCAGGGTGTTGATCCATTTTCATTCAATAGTCAAGGGGTTTACCCCCAACCCACAACTGCAACATATCCTTCTGGGAAAGAAGTATGTATATATGTTTCACTATTATGTTTTTTTTTCTCCCTGAGCTAAATGGTGTCATGTGATCCATATAGCCAAATTCATCTATTCAGATTAAACTATTTTTATTGTTGTTGCTACTATTATGAAATATTTATGTCCGGGATACTTTTACTGTTATATCCAAAATCATGACAATTTAAATGTTGATGAACCATTTTTCTAAACTAAACTGTGTGTATGTAGTCATATGGTAACCTATAATGTCTTTAGGCTTAGAAGTATTCAAGTTCTTAGGTTCTCATGGTGGGCTTAACCAAGAACCACCAACATGATTTCCCCCATCTTGGGTATTAGAATAATTATTTTATTAAGATAAATTGTTGAGATAGGTTAACCTATCTTCACTAAAAGCTTTGTGAGCAGGAATTTGGTTGCCCCCTCAATGTGTTTTTCAAATAATTCCTGTTTCTCTCTTTCAAGTCTGGGAGTCAAATTCTTGATGAATCTTTTCATGAAGGTAACCAAACGTTTCTTGTCAAAAGAAGGTTGTTGCTGGACTCAAAAGGTGTTAACAATATCAAGAACTTTAATGGCATGGTCATTAACACCCTCCTCATCACCACCTTCAGTAGAAGGGTTTGCTCCAATGTCTTCATCAACTGCTCCTTTTAAAAATCCACTTTCCTTCAACATTCCACCACATTCCATTCTCAATTTCAGTGGAGCAGGAGTCAGGGAGAAGCTCTTCACTCTCACGTTGCTCTGAACCATCTTTCATTACCAGAACAGTGGGCTTCACCAAGAACCTCTGACATGATTGTTTCCCCCCCTAACCCTTGAACCATATTTTTGACTTCCCAATCCTTATCTAAATTCCTAGACTCTACTGATGTGCAAAACCAAAAATTAGCTAGTTAATAGCTGCAATGCATATACAAGTATAGTACGGTGTTGGAGATGATACTGCTATTGGGATATGACATTTCAATTTAGGATGTGGTTGAGTGACTTAGGGCATAATCCAACATGATTTATATATACTATTGCCCAAAATTAAAGTTTTTTTTTTTTCAACCTTAGCCATTAGTGCCCAATAGAATATTAAAATTTATCACTAGCTGTATTCGATGTTGTTGCTGATTTAGTAAAGTATCTGATACTGTTACAGTTACTCATGCAACACCCGTTCAAAGACATTAGAAAGTATTAGTGCTTCCTAGATAATAGTCATTTTGTGTATTCCTTCCTGCACTTTTCTTACGATCTATCTTACTTTTGTGTTATTAAGATTTGAGAATGTGTAACCAAATTTATTGGTGTTGGAATAGATTAGAAAATATATGTAATCATTATACCTAAGGTAGGGAGTTGAGTGTTAGATAATCTCTGCAGGGGGTTGAGTGTTAGATAAACTCTGCACCTAGTTCTGAGGAGTAGTCTAGGACTGGGGCATTTAATGTAATCTCCCTATTGTATTAGTTTTTATCTATATAAATAGAGAACCATGAGAGGGGTTCTTCAAGCCCTCTAAAAACACTTTTTCTCTGTTTTGAATATCAAGTTGGTATCAGAGTGGGTCGATCCCGCTCTACCTGTCTTTGTAGTCTCCGACACTATTTTTGCCGTTGTCCGCCGTCCGCCGCCGACCACCATCTCCGGTTGTCCAGTTTTCGTCGGCGACCACCGGATCTGAATCGTCTCGCCGTGCGACAGCCAACCCCGCCGATCCCGGAAGCTTGTTCACCTTCACGCACTGCCACGCGTTGCCTCTCTCTCTGCTGCATCTGGCGCGTGTCATCCATGCGCCGCCTTCTCCGTGTCGGAACGTCGCCGCGCCGCCTCTGTTAGGATCGCCGGAACTTCCTCTCCCTGTTCTGGCCCTCAGAACTTCATTTCAGTGAGGTCCAGTAGCCACCCTTGCGAAAATCACTCTTGGGCTTTTGGCCTTCCTTACTATTTTTGCACCCCCTCACCAGTTTTTGTCCTCTGGATCAGAAATGGCTGCAATTTCATTCTCTGGAAGCCCCTCCATTACTTCCGAAAAGCTAAACGGACAAAATTATCTATCTTGGTCTGCTGCCGTCAAAATGTGGTTTCTCGGTCAGGGGCATCACGACCACCTTGAAAAAGACGGAAGCCATGTGCCGGAAGAAAAAGCTGAACAGTGGAAACAGACAGATTTTCAGCTATGTGCTCTATTGTGGCAATCGGTGGAATGACTTTTGATGTCGCTTAGAGCTTTCAAAACTTGTCACTCCTTTTGGAAGAAAGCCCAAACCATTTATGCCAATGATATCCAATGTCTCTATGATTCCGCAAATAAGCTGGCATCTCTAAAAATGATAGATCATGATATGGTGACCTTCATGAATGACGCCTACTTAGTTGTGGAAGAACTAAAGATGTTCTTGGAAGTCGACTCCTTGGATGAAATGAAGAAGAAGCTTGACAAGTATTACATGGTGATGATCCTTCGCGCAATACATCCTGACTTTAATCATATAAGAGATCAACTTCTGACCACTTATGAAGTCCCTTCCATGGATACCCTTATCACACACCTGATTCGTGTACCAATGCCTGAAACTCAAAAAGCTCGTGCTCTAGTAGAACCATTTGCCATGGTTGCCACACGAGGAAGAGGAGGACGTGGAGGTTGAGGACGTCCCCAATACACCTACTGTAAGAGGATGAGTCACACATAGGAGAACTGCTACTCCTTGCATGGTTTTCCTCCCAAAACCGCCAATGTCTCGAAGGCTGAAACCGTCGACTCCAAGTTCACTGAGAACGAATACCAAGAGAGTCTACGGTTGAAGTCTAATAGCTTGGCACAGATCTCTCAAACTGCAAGCACATCAATTGCTTGCATTTCTCAATCTGTGGAAGGTCAAAATTCATGGGTAATTGACTCTGGTGCTTCTGATCATATATCTGGTAATACCTCCTTGTTCTCAACCATTTCTTTTCAAGAAAAATAACATTTCATAACCCTTGCAGATGGCTCTAAAGCTTCCTCAAAGGGAGTGGGCCAAGTTTCCTTGTCTCCCTCCATAAGCCTGAAATCTGTCTTTTTTGTTCCTAATTATCCTTTCAATTTAATCTCCTTAAGCCAATTAACCAAAACCTTAAATTGTTCAATAACCTTCGATAACAAATCTTTTGTTATACAGGAGCGTGGTTTGGGGAGACGGATTGGAGAAGGATATAAAGATGGAGGATTATACCTTTTTGGCCCTCGTTCACGTGTGTCCTGTGTTGCTACTCTGAGCCCTAAAGTGTTACATGATCGGCTTGGCCATCCTCATTTGTCAAAATTAAAAAGAATGTGTCCTGAACTTAGTGGTCTCCAGACCTTAGAATGTGAGTCATGTCAACTAGGAAAACATGTTAGATCTACCTTTCCTAAAAGGTCTCAATCAAAGTGTACTTCCAGTTTCTCTATTATCCATTCTGATATTTGGGGATCCAATCGCATCTCATCTTTTGGTTTTCATTATTTTGTTACATTCATTGATGAATATTCACGATGTACTTGGGTTTATCTTATGAAAGATCGTTCTGAATTGTTACCCATCTTTACATCCTTTTTAAATGAAATCAAAAATCAATTCGATCAAGTAATCAAAATTTTAAGAAGTGAAATGCTAAAGAGTACTTCTCATCCACCTTTTCTGCTGTTTTGAGTTCACATGGAATATTGCATCAATCCACCTGTCCTCATACACCACAGTAGAATGGTATAGCAGAAAGAAAAAATAGACATTTGGTTGAAACTGTACGTACTCTTTTGCTGGGTGCTCATATTCCTGTCCATCACTGGGGGATGCCATCTTAACTGCATGTTTTCTTATTAATATGATGCCATCTTCCTTTCTCAGTAATAAAATCCCTTTCTCCATTCTATTTCCAAATAATCCTCTCTTTCACACCTCTCCTCGAGTTTTTGGTTGTATATGTTTGGTTCATGATATGTCTCCAGGGTTAGACAAACTTTCTGCTCGTACTATCAAATGTGTCTTCTTGGGCTATTTCCGCCTTCAAAAAGGGTATCGGTGTTATTCTCCTGAAACCAAGAAGTATTACATATCTGTCAATGTTACATTTTTTTAACAAACTCTTTACTTTTCTCCATCTATTCAAGATGTTCATGTCATATAGCAGGTTCTTCCCATTCTAGTGGTTGAGTCTAATATTTCCAATGTCTCTATCGATCTCAGTCATGATCCAAGTCTTCCTGAACCGTCCTCCCCTCACATTGATGTTGTTAATCATAGGATCCCGATGGCTAGTCCTGTTCTCCAAGAAGAGGGTGAATCCCCCACTTTACATTCTTCTCCAACATCGCTTCCTACCATGACTCCTGGTGAAGGTGATTCTGGATGGCCCATTGCTCTCAGAAAAGGTACTCGTTCCACTCGAAACCCACATACTATTTATAATTTTCTTAGCTATCACATATTGTCGCCTTCCTATTATTCCCTTTTATCCTCAGTATCTTCTATTGCTATCCCAAGAAATGTAGAAGAAGCACTTGATCACCCTGGATGGCAATAAACCATGATTGCAGAAATGCAGGCTCTTGACCATAATGCTACTTGCGAGCTTGTGCCCCTTCCGCCGTGCAAAAAGGCAGTTGGTTGCTGCTGGGTGTATGTTGTTAAAATCGGCCCTGATGATAAAGTTGATCGGCTCAAGGCTCGGTTAGTTGTAAAAGGGTACACTCAGGTTTATGACCTTGATTATTGTGACACTTTCTCTCTCGTGGCCAAGATGACTACTATTCGTCTGTTCTTCGCAATGGCTGCCATTCATCACTGGCCACTTCATCAATTAGGTATAAAAAATGTCTTCCTACATGGTGATCTTGAGGACGAAGTTTACATGGAGCAACCTCCTGGGTTTGTTGCTCAGGGGGAGTCTGGACTGGTATGCAAATTACATCGCTCTCTATATGGCCTCAAGCAATCACCACGTGCTTGATTTGGAAAATTTAGCTCCATTGTTCAAAAATTTGGGCTAAGACGCAGTGAAGCAGATCATTCAGTCTTTTACTGTCATACATCTCAGGGTAAATGTGTTTACTTAATAGTATATGTTGATGATATAGTCACTACAGGAAATGATACTGTTGGAATATCTCAACTGAAGGAGTACTTGTGCAGACATTTTCAAACCAAGGATTTGGGAAGTATAAAATACTTCTTGGGCATTGAAGTAACTCAATCAAAAGATGGAGTTGTAATCTCTCAGAGAAAATATGCTCTTGATATATTACAAGAAACAGGTATGATTGACTGTAGACCTGTAGAGAGTCCTATGGACCCAAATAAGAAATTAACAATAGAAGAAGGTAAAGTATTCTCTGATCCAGAGAGATATAGGAGGCTGGTCGGAAAACTGATTTATCTCACTATTACAAGGCCTGATCTATCTTTTGCAGTTAGAGTGATTAGTCAGTTCATGCAGGCTGCATGTGTTGGCCATTGGAATGCTATCATTCGCATTCTAAGGTACCTCAAAAAGGCTCCCGGGCAAGGATTGTTATATGAAGATAGAAGAAGCATTCAGGTCACTGGGTATTGTGATGCAAATTGGGCAGGTTCACCTGTTGACAGACAGTCTACTACTGGATATTGTGTCTTCCTTGGAGGAAACATTATTTCATGGAAAAGTAAGAAATAGAATGTAATGGTTCGATCGACAGCTGAAGCTGAATATAGGGCAATGACGTCACTAACTTGTGAACTTATATGGGTGAAGCAATTCATTCAAGAGCTTAACTTCTGTGATATCCAGACTATGAAGATGTATTGCGATAATCAAGCTGCTCTCCACATTGCATCAAATCCCGTATTTCACGAGAGAACTAAACATATAGAAATTGATTGTCACTTTGTTCGTGAAAAGTTGTTGACAAAAGAAATATGTACTGAGTTTGTTGGATCAAATGACCAATTCGCAGATGTGTTTACCAAGTCCTTAAGGGGACCTCGGATTGAGTTCATTTGTTCCAAGCTTGGTACATACACTTTGTATGCTCCAGCTTGAGGGGGAGTGTTGGAATAGATTAGAAAATATATGTAATCATTATACCTAAGGTATGGAGTTGAGTGTTAGGTAATCTCTGCAGGGGGTTGAGTGTTAGATAAACTCTACACCTAGTTCTGAGGAGTAGTTTAGGACTGGGGCATTTAATGTAATCTCCCTATTGTATTAGTTTTTATCTATATAAATAGAGAACCATGAGAGGGTTCTTCAAGCCCTCTAAAAACACTTTTTCTCTGTTTTGAATATCAAGTATTGGGATTTAACGTACCTGAATGGATTGATTTTAGGTCTGTTGGTCTTGGTCTTCTCTCCAATGTCTCAAATCTTGCAATGCTCAGACATTTGCTAGGGTGATGTAGTATGTAATCACTTTAGACCCACTCCAGTGACGAAGTAAGGAGGGACTTTGTTTATTGGAGAGACTTTTATCAATTATTAGCATAAGGAGAAGTGATTGGAAGAAGAGTGAGGAAATGAGAATGAGTAGACCTCTGTGAGAGGAGTTTTGGTATTTGTGGGTGCCAAACAAGTAATGAGATTAATGGTAATCTATAGTTGTGATTGGCAATAGTGTTGTGAGTCTTTCTCTTTGTTAGGCTTTAGGGCCCTTCTTATTAGGCTGTAGGTTTGTGCATTACATAATCCTTGGAAATTCTGACAACTACTTTTCCAATGGGAAGTTGGGAATGGCTTCCTTCATTTTATTTCATTTAATGGATTTAAAACTAAAGTATGATAACCCTTGTTTTGCTTTGGTATGCACAGCAATGCCAAAATTAAAACACCAGTGAATGGTAATGAAATATCACTATTCTAGATTCAAAGGCATTGGCAATATGGCCCAAATATCTCTCCAGTAATGCCCTATCTTTTACAGCCGTGAATGAGAAATCTGATTTTGTACGTCATCTTTGGTCCTACATAACGCCGATAGTTGTTTTCTTCTTCTCCTTTTTTCTTACTTCCCATTAATATTTTGCAATATGGCCTGCATCACATAGTGTGTTGAACTCTGGATGGGAAACTACGTGTCAGCATGCATCTGTGTTGAGAAAAAGTAATTCTTGTTATTAAAAAAGATACTTGTATGTCTGTCATGGTTATTGGTCAGGATGTCACTGTCATTTTTCGAAGAAGAGGAGGAGATGATTTGGAACAAAACCACAGTAAATGGCTATCAACTGTCAAGTCCTCCCCAGATATCATTGAGATGACTTTCTGTCCTATAACTGCTCTGCTTGATGAATTACCTGCCAAGGAGCATTTGACTCGTGCCATTGGTCTTTATCTTGAACGTAGGTCATTTTATCCTTTATTTTTTATTATTTAGATTTTTCATATTGGCTTTGAGGAGTATTGTCTAATACCAATAACATTTCTTTTTTCTGGTTTCCTAAATTTTGCACGCAGATAAACCTCCAATTGAAGAACTTAGATATTTCCTAGAGTTTCAGATTCCTTGTGTATGGGCTCCTTTACAAGATAGGATTCCTGGTCAGCAAAGGAAGGAACCTGTGTGTCCATCTTTGCAATTCAGCATAATGGGCCAGAAACTTTACATCAGTCAAGAACAGGTAAACGTCATTTGTGGTATTTTCCTTTGCTTAGAAGCTTCTTATGTGATACATTTGGTTTGTCACTGTCAGTTGCTAAGCAAGATATAATTCTAAGAATTGATCAGCTAGTGCCTCTGGTAACAGTCTTCAAGTCTGGGGAATCTAATGAATTGCAACTTTCATTTTTAAGGATTTATGTATCTGAATGAAAAGGTTTATTTTCCTAAATCTCTGGGTTATGCTAGATCGGTCTTTTTTCTTTTACAGCATTGGAACCCTGTTTATGTGTTGTGTTGTGCCTATTTTAGTTCAAGTTTATATTGGAAGTAAAATGATTGAGTACTTTTTATTATTTCCTGTTTGCATAATTTTAGGGTGACAAATACCTTGTTTGCATCCTTTTGAATGTGATGCCATTCATTGTTGAAATTGATCGTGTCTATGCTGTCCAAGCCTTGAAAAATAAGAACATAGAATCAAAAAAATTATTTTTTCTATTCTAATAGATTGAACTAAAGATCTGGAAAAATAGATTAACTGAAATATGATTTTTTTTATTATTTCAATACAAAGAGATGATATAAGATATATACAGGAGACCTAAGCTATTTTAGGAAATATAATAACTCTATTTTATGCTAGGATCCCTTGATTTATGGGATTGTTCCTAATTATTCAAATCTGTACAGATTACAAGAAAATATACAAATTTCCTGATTTATTCTTTCCTAAAATACTATTTGATTTCCCACACTCCCCTCAAGCTCGGTGAATAGATGTTTTCCATTTCCAGCTTGGATACAATCTTCTCAAAATTATGGCAGCCCAGTCCCTTGGTAAGAATGTCGGCAATTTGGTCTTGAGAGGACACATATGGAGTGCATATCAAGCCACTATCAAGCTTTTCTTTGATGAAGTGTCTCGTCTTCTTCAATATGCTTTGTTCTATCATGCTGCACTCGGATTGTGGGCTATACTCGATTGCTGACTTATTATCACAATAGAGCTTCATAGGTTCTTCCCAATTTATCCTCAAGTCTTCTAAGATGATTTTAAGCCATAGCAACTCACATAACATAAATTTGTCCTCCTTTCCTTGAGGAGCCTCCTTTGTGTCCCCCTTCTCGATCTCGGTTTAAAGGCTTCCCATGTAACTTCCAACACTTCTCTCGGGTATGACGAGGTTTATTGCGATGAGGTACACCGGAGACCATCACCTTTCTTCTCCACATTTGCCGATCCTCCTTTCTTCCGTTCGGTTACCATGGCCAAAGTTTGATCTCCTTTATGGTCCAAGGCTTGAGTTCTCTACTCGTCGGACTCTCTAACATGAGACCCCTTCTACTTTCTTCACTTCTCACAATAGCCACCACTTCATTGAGGCATGGTACCTTTTGCTTCCCCAATATTTGAATCCTAACTTGATCAAATTCGGGATTCAAACCAACAAGGAAATCATAAACTCTGTCTTGTTCGATATACTCCTTGAGAAGTGCTCGAATCTTCAGTACATTTGGCTTTTATGACTCTATAATGGTCTAGCTCCATCCACAATGATTTCAGCTGATTGGCATATTCTCGTAACAGTCTTGTTCCCTTGTTTTGCTGCCAAAGTTTTCACCTTTACTTCATATATTTGAGCAAGCATCTTTGGCTTTAGAGTAGGTTTGCTCTACGACATCCCAAATATCTTTTGCCGAATTAAGGAACATGCAGGTGTCGCCGATTTCGGAATCATTGAATTCCACAGATCACGCCATGATCATTGAATCTTCTTCATCCCATGTAGTAAACTTGGGATCCTCCCGTTTAGGTCTAGACTCCATCGGGTGACTCAACTTCCCCTTTCCCTTCAACACTGTAACGAACAAGTTGGGCCCACTTCAAATAATTTCTTCCATTTAGTCTATATGCGGAATGAATATTCTGCAGCTTCTCGCATTGCTCGGGATTGGGTATTCCCTGTTTCGGGTTTGGATTCGCAACTTCCTCTTCCCTTGACATCATAGCAAGGAGGTGTGATGCAACAGCAATGCAGGCTGTCGTCTTAGGATTAAGAAAAATGCAGCAGCAATGCAGACTGCCATCTTAGGGTTAAGAAAAATGTAGCAGCAATGCAGGCTGTCGTCTTAGGGTTAAGAAATATGCAGCAGCAATGTAGGCTGCCGTCTTAGGATTACGAAAAATGCAGCAGCAATGTAGGCTACCGTCTTAGGGTTAAGAAAAATGCAGCAGCAATGTAGGCTGCCGTCTTAGGGTTAAGAAAAAATGCAGCAGCAATGCAGGCTGCCGTCTTAGGGTTAAGAAATATGCAGCAACAATGCAGGCTGCCGTCTTAGGGTTAAGAAATATGCAGCAGCAATGCAGGCTGCTGTCTTAGGGTTAAGAAATATGCAGCAGCAATGTAGGCTGCCGTCTTAGGGTTAAGAAAAATGCAGCAGCAATGCAGGCTGCCATCTTAGGGCTAAGAAATATGCAGCAGCAATGTAGGCTGCCGTCTTAGGGTTAAGAAATATGCAACAACAATGTAGGCTGTCGTGTTAGGGTTTATCGCACGCAGACATAGCTTCCTAGATCGGAAGCTCTGATACCATCTGGAAAAATAGATTAACTGAAATATGATTTTTTTTATTATTTCAATACAAAGAGATGATATAAGATATATACAGGAGACCTAAGCTATTTTAGGAAATATAATAACTCTATTTTATGCTAGGATCCCTTGATTTATGAGATTGTTTCTAATTATTCAAATCTGTACAGATTACAAGAAAATATACAAATTTCCTAATTTATTCTTTCCTAAAATACTATTTGATTTCCCACAAAAGACATCACGAGAAACTAACTATTGATGTTTTCACATTACCTTTTATTATTTATTCTTTAGTTAACACCCTTTTCAGTGAACATTTCGGAATATGAATGTTTGCATTAAAACATGACTGCGCATTGTAGTTCTGCATAATATTATAAATTTATAATCTCTCCGAAATGTATTACTAAAGAAACAATATCAGAATATGATAATAACCTGTATCCATTTGCATTTATTCTTGGAAAGGAAAACTTCTAGGGAAATTTATATACAGATTGAAGAAGCTGTTCGATCTCTTTGGTCTTTGGAGGCTAAATTAATATTGAGAAGATTTCATTTGTTGTGAAACACATATCTAATCAATTTTACTTTAAAACATGGCTCTCTTTGAATGCAGGTTACAGTGGGACGTAGACCAGTAACTGGATTACGTCTCAGACTAGAAGGAAGCAAGCAGAATCGACTGAGCGTTCATGTTCAACACTTGGTATCCCTCCCAAAAATCCTCCATCAATATTGGGACAGCCATGTTGCTATAGGTGCTCCCAAGTGGCAGGGACCCGAGGAGCAAGATAGCCGATGGTTTGAGCCTGTTAAGTGGAAGAACTTTTCTCATGTGAGCACTGCACCAATTGAGAACCCTGAAACCTTCATAGGAGACTTCTCTGGTGTCTACATAGTTACCGGAGCTCAGCTTGGAGTGTGGGATTTTGGATCGCGGAATGTATTGTACTTGAAGCTATTATATTCAAGGTTACCCGGCTGCACGATCCGCAGATCGTTGTGGGATCACGTTTCAAACAGTTCGTCAAAAACTGTGAAAGTCGGAAACACTTCCAACTCGGATAACTCAACTCTAGGAGAAAATGCCACAGGCAACAAGTTGGTGAAGTACGTTGACTTGTCTGAGATGACCAAAGGGCCCCAAGACCCTCCTGGCCATTGGCTAGTCACTGGTGGAAAGCTTGGTGTGGAAAAAGGGAAAATTATTTTGAGAGTAAAATATTCATTGCTTAATTACTGATTTCACCATCCATGTTTGTGTTTGAGGACGTGCATGCAGTGGTGGCCTGTGTGAGAAATAGCAATGCTCAGGTGCACTCATTTGGCCATGTTGTCCATGTAAAAACATTTTGCGGTTTGATGACCAGAGTTGAATAGGAAGCTTTTACTGTTAGTTGATTATGATTAGTGGATGTATGTTGTGGTGGTGGCAAATGTTTGTTTCCGTTGGCACTGCTGATGTGATGTCCATATCTAATAGGAGTTAGAACCTGTTTCCACCATCTCCATTTTAAAGTGATGCTTATATCCATATAGCTTTGACAATACAAATGTCAAAAATCCTTTCCTTCCCTTTTCTCTCTACTACAAAAAAGGGTGACAGAAAGGGGGAAAAGGTGGTTGGTGAAGTCTTGAACATTCTGTATCATCCATCGTTTTCTTTTTTTGGGGTATTCATTAACTGTTTATGCATCTATTTGCGTATTACAAAATCATCATTTTATTTTTTCAACTATCTGTTCTACTTAGTTTTTACCATCTCAAATTCCAATCATTGAGAAGGTTAAGAATAAAGATGGTGTCTATGGTGAGGATAAAGTTGTCATACAAGTAGAGTTGAAAAAATGTTATTATGACAGCAAAATATTTTCATCCTGTGATTTGCTCTACTTTTTGCCATTTTTTGAGGAGTTTTTACTCTGCTATATGTTTATCTGTTGGCAAGCATATTTAGATCAATTGTAGTGAGTAATGAGTGTAAAAGTGATTACATGGATTTGTTTGATATTTGATTGATTCACAATTATATTAGTTAAGTTAATAATATAGACAGAGGAAAATAAAACATTTGTCCTAGGTCTCCAAAATTTATTTTATACTCATTTAATTAAATTACTAGATGAGAAATTTGGTTATGATATGCTATATTGTATATAATATTTTTATTTATGTTAAAAAAAAGTAAGAAAATTGTTGAGTTTTCTTTTGGATTTTACTCTCCTCCCTGAACAATTATTATTTCAGTTATAAATTTTAAATTAAATCAATGAATCTAATATTGAGATATAAATAGATGTTTTGATGAAAATACTGACAATAAATTATACATTTAACTAAAGATTCTCTTGTATACTTATCATATTCATAGACATTTAATTAAGTGAAAGCCAGTTAGATTGATTAAAAAAAATGAAATCACTTATTTTTTATTTGAATTCTAAAAATGGAAGTTTAGATTATAAAGAATTGAAAAAGAAAATTACATTAATACTTATCTTTATTACCATTAATCAACGTCACAATTGGCTCACAGCACGGACATCAAACATTTAATCACAGGAAGTGAGAAATAAATAAACTTCAAAACTGGACCCTACTTTGGAAGGCCTGTCCAAATTCAACCAGCAGGTACCACGTTGTAACTGGTCACTGGTCACTGGTCACTGATCGACCATCACTGGTTGTGACTACAAAGGAGAGGCTCTGGGCAACAAGACAGGTGTTGCTCTGCCAATTCTGACCCGGGTCTAGTCATTCGTTGCCACCTAGGTGAGGACCCTTTTACTGACTGCTTTCACATCCCTGCCCCTCCCACCTAAGAATCCAGCACCAAGTCGTGAGAAGTACATCCCCATTTGTGTTTACCTTTTCCATGTAAATGGAGTACATTACTTATCTTATAAATGAGCGGTGGATCTTCTCATTATCTTTTTAAAGTTTTATAACCTCTTTTAATATTTATTATTTTGATTTTCTCACTTAATTATCATTAAATATATTTATTAACATAATAGTAATTTTGATTTTTAATTTAATAATCATTAAATATATTTATAATTTTAATATTTTATTTAGTATTTTCTAATAAATATTAAAATAAATCATTAATAAATCTTTTAATATTTTTTTATCTTTTTATATTATCATTATTTATTAATATAATGTTATTTAACATCTCCTAAGATCATTGATCAAGATTCGTGATAATCTCAAATATCTTTCTTATGTTTTCTATTAGTACATTGTAAAGTAATTAAGTTTTTTTTTCTTAGAGAGATATTATTTTCTCTTTAGATTTAAAGAATGTATTATAATTTTTTGTGTGGTATTAGAGCTGATGGTTTGTTCGGTGACCAATTCAGTTTAGTTAGATTAGAGTGAGTGAAAGATCCTACATTGTGGATTCTTGTGTTGAAAATTTGTCTAACAAGGATTTCAATCAAACAAGTCACATTGTTGAATGGTGCAATGAATAAGGTTTCTACTAGGTATTCATGATTAAAAAATACTTTCACTCGAAGGCTTGGTGTACTAATATAAATGAAAATCACACTTGAGGAAGAACTTGTTGAGAACTCATGTATGAGTTTTAAGTTTCAAATTATGTAAAAAAGAAAAAGTTAAGTAACTTATAAGTGAAAAAAAACAATGCATTAAAGTCTTAGATTGAAGGTGACGTCAATCCCTTTGTGGGTTGGGCTCATGCATCATTAATGTTATTTCTCCTCGATGAATCTTCTGTCAAAATATCTAATAGTTGAAGTAAGGGTTACCATTGATGATAAACCTCACCAAGCCACCCTCCAACACACATTATACTTCACCATGTTCAAACAAAAATCTTTATTTCATTCCCATTGCCATTCAATGCATATTTTGAAAGTCATTAGAAAGGAACGCAAGCTGAGGTGGAAGCTATAACTGTTAGCTTTATGTTAAATGCGAAATATCAGAGTTAAACATTCTACTTAATGATCTATATATTTGAAATGAAATGAGATATAAAAAAGACAAAGATAATCATAAAATTATAAAACATTAAAAAATATATTGAAGATGAAAACTTATATTAACCATGTTACATGTATGAAAACTAAATTAAAAAAAAAATCAAAATCAAAATAGATTAAAATTGAGAGTTACCCTCTAAAGAGCACATTCGGCACACGAAAGTTTGTGGTAATGACGGTGATAGGTTAATAATTAAGAGGGGAAAGGTTCTGAAGGAAAAGAATACAAAACATATAGAAATATCAAAGAAAGATTATTAAAGTTCTCAATATCTCAACCAAAGACAATACATATATAGTCTTTAGGAGCATAACTAACTTGCGAAAATAAAGGAAAATAATACGTCATAAAATTTAACAAGATCAATGCTTATATGTAATATATAACAAAATCTATCTTTTCCCAGCTCTACTCTTGCAGCTAATATTAGTGACCATGTAGTCTTGCATCTATTTAGGTTGTTTTCCCTCCCTTTTAGCCTCACATAACTCCTATTTTAGACTTCCAATTCAACAATTGAGTCCTCCTCTTTCTCCCATGTTGAATGTTAGGAAATAATCCACGCCACTAGACTAGTACCCATTCTTGAGAGGATCACCTCCACCTTAGATGCAAGAATAGGCATTAGCAAAAATTTTGGTTGGTTTGCATGAGAAGTTGAAGGTAATACCAACTCTTTATCATGTGTATTATTATGAAAGGGTTCAATTTTCGAAACATGAAAAACTAGATGTATCATGGATTTTTTGGGCAAATTAAGCTCAAAGGCTACCTTTGCTTGATAGTAAAAGGACCATAAAAACGCTTATATAATTTTTGTGATCTTTTCCTTACAACAAACATTTGCCTACATGGCCTCAATCTGACCAAGAATCAGTCACCTAACTTAAAGTGACGAGGAATTCGATGAAGAGCAACATAATTCTTCATAGTTGATTGGGCCTTGAGAAGATTCTTTTTCAATTTTTTGAAGATATGTGTGCACTCACTTAATTCATGTTTTATACCTACTAAACCTTTGTTTTTATTTATAGTTTTACTATTTATGAAGAATTGAGGTGCATATTTCCAAAGAATGTTTAGGTTTGTATTTGTGAATTTGTACTAATTTAAGAGGAAAGCTAAGCTTGTAGGATCTAATTATTTTATTTTTCTCTCCTTAAGCAAGAAGAATTGCAAAGAAAGTCATTATTATTATATTTCTTACCCATATTATCTTCTAACATATATTATCTCATTTCATAATTTTTTACCCACAGTCTATAATATTACATTTTTTTCTACTTAATAATTATTATGTGTATCTATTTATTATTATTATTATTATTATTATTATTATTATTATTATTATTATTATATATTTACTAATGTATAATCATCAATTTTTATTGTTATATATTATTTATAGTTGTTTATATTCATATTTATTTATATTAAATTTTTCATTTTTAATATAAATGTATCTTAATTATATCGGTATAAATAATCAATTATATAAATATGAATAATCAATTATGTTAAAGAAATATTATTATTTTCATTATATATGAGTTAAGGTTGATAATATATGTATTTATAGTTATATATGATTTTATAATTTTTATTATAATAAAATTACAATTATATTTAAATATAAATTTAATTTTTTAATAATGTTATTGATTTTTATTTTTTTTATTATGAATTCTTTTATTATAGTTTTAATTTTTTTAATAAGTACTTAAAATAAAAATTTATACATAATTTTTAGTTAATAATTTAAAAAATATTTTTAAATTAATTACTTTAAAATTAATTGTTTTTTATCTTTAATTTATATTTATATTTATTAAATATTAAGTAAGAATATTTTAGTAATTAAATAAATTATTTTATTAATATATTTCTTTATTATTTTAAATTAATCAAATCAATTATAATTTTTCTCCTCATCTCCTTTCACTTTTTACTCTCTTTCTCTTAATCCAAACAATTTTACTTTATCCAAATATAAATTAAATCTAGATACATATTGTGATAAAGAAGGAGGAGATTTCCTATACATATTTTAATAAGGATTCATACCTTTATATAAATGATTTATTTTAATAGATAATTTGAAACTTTCATACTTTTTCTACCTTGTATTTATATTTTTTCTTTTATCTTAGTTTTAGTTGATATATCTTTTTATTTGATTATTCATAGTTTAACTTGAATAAGCATGGTCTAGTTCGTTCAAGTTAATCA